TAGGTACAATATTGATAGGTAGGTCTATAACCAAGATCTAAATAAAAATAGCTATTTCTAATTAATTAATTAAAAATAATATAGTAAAAATAATTGACTAGTAAAAACATACATAAATTAATAGATTATTAAGACAATAATCTTTGGCATCAAATTATATATTATATTTAAGAAAAAAATTACTAAAGAAAATAAAAAAAATCTTTCATCTTTTATTAAATAAAATTTCTATTAATAGAAAATATCTATAAAAATATTTTAAAACCTTATCAAAGCTTGAAATAGTAAAAACATAAAAAATAAAATTTTAAGACTTTTTTGTATATAGCAAGAAATTGATAAAAAATTGGATTAATATTCGAATCCAAATTAGTAATATACAACATATTCTAAGAAATATTTTATAAATAAACAAAAACTTTAAATGTGTTATTAAATATTATGAGATTTATAATACTTTAATAAGCTAGTATTAATAAACTCACTTTTATTGTTAAAAAATATTTAATAAATGACATGAAATTGATTTAGGATTTTCTAATAATAATGAATATAATTAATAATATTAATAATTTAATAATTTCTGATATAGAAGAAAATAATTGTGCATCTAAAAAATCATTCAAAATAATATGAGATATAAAATGATACTAATATTTTTAATAAAATAGACCTATTAAAACCAATTTGAATGATTTTAATATTTTCAATTGAAAAAGTTATATAAGGAGTTTGAAATAATATTTGGTATTGTTTCTAAGAGGCTAAATATTTACAAATAGATAGTGTTGAGGTTAAAAGAAGTTAATGAAAAATCATATCATATTGATAGATGAAGCATATTTTACATCAGTTAAAATAGTTTAATAAATGGTAACTTTGCCAATAAAGAAAATGAATTAATTAGTCAGAAAAAACATATGTGATTATGAAAGACTCAAAAAAATGTAACAAAGTTAATAATTGTAGAAACAATAAATTAACAAAATCCTAAAAAATATAAAAATTTAGTTACAAATAAAATATTTTTAATAAAGTGGAGATTCAATTATAATTCAATTCCAAAAGCACAATTGTACAAGATAATTTCAAAGTTAGTAGAAAAGAGTTGCAATTAGAAAAAAAGTGTAAAATAAATTCATCACAACAAAGCCAAGAAAATAGTGCTAAAGTGCTAATATTAATCAAAGACAAAGTAAAGAATATGGTTGTTAAAAACATGAATCTAGACAAAATCTTTAAAAAATATATACTTGTGTATTCATAAAGAAGAAAAAAAAATTAAGAATGAAAAAATAGTTAGATAATAGAAAAGAACTAAAATATAATTTAGCAAATACAAAAAAATTAGAGAGTATTAAAACAAAATTGAATCATAAAGAAAGGTATTGGCAACAATGAGGATGGCTACAATCTTGTCTATGTATATGGTAGCTACATGGAAGGTCTTCCCAAGCTTCTTAGAGACCACAAGGCTTGTGGCTTAAGCATTAAGTTATAAGTTGCTTCTACTACAACTTCTCAAAAGTAAGAAACTAGTAAAATAAGTTTCAATAGCCATGTGGAAAATTTATAAAAATTCAAACAACTAACTTTTATCCAAAAAACTACCACTAAGCTTCTTAATATGGATATCACCTTTCCAACATGTTTCTATCGACTTCTACTTGCACCTCTTTACATCTATTTGCTTCTATTTACTCAAATAATATCAAATCTATTAAAATAGTTCAATTATATAATTATTTATTTAATCACCTAATATATATAAAATAGATATTATAATTTTTGATTGTTTGGACTAAATATATCAAATATGTGGTACAAATTACCTAAAAAAATAAGTCAAATCATAAATATATATATATATATATATATATATATATATATATATAATTATTTAATAGATATAAAATTTTAAAATAGAATTTTAAAAAAATATTATTATGAAAATCCACTAATACATTTGTCTATATTATTAAATTAAAAAAATAATCTTTTTGACATCATATTAACTCAAATATAAATTTATATTTAGCCATCCTTTCAATTCTTGCACTCACTTCTTCACCTCTTTCAACTATCTTTTGTACCTTCTTCAAATATAAGACATGTAAAAAGAATTGAATAGCTATTTTAAAATTAAGTAAATAAATAAATAAAATTTGACCTCATCACCACCTCAAATGATAAAATAGCACCTTCTTCTTATTCTTCTTCTTTGTATGCTACTTCTCTTCTTTGTCACTATTGTCAATGTCAATAAATCTACAAATCCTAACCAATTCTATTGGGTCATCCTAATGGTCATCATATAGGTGGCTAGCACTTTGCTAAACAATATGCCACATTCTCCGACCTTAGGTATAACAACTCTAATAACTTTCACATTTTCTACCAACCTCATCTTATCTATTCTATTTCAATTCCAAAAAATTCTCTCAAGATTGCTGCAACAAGAATAGTACCTTCATTACCAACTCCATTAAACTAACTCTCTCTTCTATATCAAAATCAGCTCTTTTCTTGTTCTATTTTCAACCACGACATCTATTGCCCTCCTTCTCAATAATGCTTACATTACATAGTTCCAAACTCCAAATAATCTAATTTTGTGAATGTAATGCTAAAGGTCTAGATTTTTCTCTTGCATTCAATAACAATACTACCATGCATTCTCTTTTTAACTTTCTCGCTATTTTCTGGTTAAGGTTTTGTGAATCACTACAACACTCTAATTTTGCTTCACTTTGGATTAAAATAATGAGGCATGCAGCAAATCAAAAAGAATTTTTGTCTCTTCTTGTTTATCCTATGTATATGTCCTTTCCCTTAAGTTGTTTAATAGAAGATATATTTATTATTCTTATATTAATCAAGAGTCTTTAGTCTATTTATATTATTTTAGTAATCAAATACATTTCTATTCAAAAAATAATACCCTATTTTTTAGAAATATCTATAAATTAATAATTTAGATAATTAAAAGTTAGCAATCTAAAATCAATATATATATATATATACATATATATAGATATATATTAATAATTTTTTATTGGATTTGACAAAATAACAAAAAATAATAAAGAAAAAATAATTTTAAAATATTAAAATTAAATTTTTAGTACTTAGTAATAATATTGGAAGTAACTACTATATCTGATGTTTTTTATTTTACTTATTTTTTTTAAAGATAGTTGCAAAAGTCTCAATAATGATCAAAGAAATAATTTTTCTTGTTTTTCTTAATGGCTTGATAACCTTTCAACCACTTTATGTTAACTAATATTACAAATTTGTACCAACTGTTTTTTTTTTTTTTTTTTTTTTTTTTGTAAAAATTATTAACTTGGGAAACACGTTAAGATCTTGTTATTCTTTGTAAAACTTGTTTTTAAAAAAGAAGCAATGTTATAAATATCCATACTATCTAAATAAGTAAAATTTAAGAAAATTATACAAAAATACTTACAAATAAGTTAGTTAGATAATTCTATCTTATAAAGTATTGTAAATTTTTCTCAAATGCAAATTAGATTTAAAATGTACTTTGATGTTTTATAAGACTAAACAAATCCTTATTATAAAACTCTTTAAATGAAATATATTACTATAAAAGTATTCCACAACTTAGACAATTGTATGGTGTGTAAACATATAAGCAAAACTTAAGACATTTTTAATCATATCCATGCATATCTTCTTTACTATTATTGATAAATTTGTATAGTTTCATGCTTATAACAACAAATAAGTTACTTTTATATTCCATTAATACAAATACATGTCCAATACTAACAACTTGCAAATTATAAATAAATGTCTATTATTATAAATATATATATAAAACTAAAATCCTAATTATTTTATTATAAATATATAAATTTACTCAATATTAGCATAGTATTAGCTAAAATGTGGACAAGCTACATCCTTAACGATTTAAAAAAAAAAAAACAAAACAAAAACAAAACAAAAGAAAACAAAAAGTAAGTTACACACTATTTAAATTTAAAATCAAAACAAGTTAATAATGCATAAAAATAAACATTAAAATATTAAAATATTTACTCTGTAATTTAATTATAAATAATAATAATACTGTGAATATATATATATATATATATATATATATATCATCCAAAAGTAAGACGAAATATTAAACTTTGTATGCAAGACTGCTATGAGATTTTTTTTCTATTAATTAATTGATGAGACAAAAAATGACCTCATCTATATATGTATGTATGTATTCCATGCAAATTGTAGTCCAAGTTTAAAACATAATGACACCTAGGCGACTGAAACAAAAAAAAATTGGTAAACTCTATAACATTTTTTAACAAGGCTTGCCAAGCCAACCAACAAAAAAAAAAAAAAAAAAAAAAAAAAGATTAAAGAATCGTCAACTAAATTAATAGGATCATTTTTTAAGAAAAAATACTTCTCTGACAAGACTTGATTTCCAAGTTTCTTCCTGTAAGATTCTAAAAACAATTCTAATGTTTCTACTATCATAACATGCATACCGCAGGGATATGTTGCACAACGTTTTACAAACACTATACAATCATGTATTCACATGGACACAACTGCAATATAATTTGACTTTAACAACTGTCCAGCAGACACAGAAACCCTTCCCCACTTCGTTTCCTTACTGTCTATCCTCCAAGAATTTTTTATGCAACCATTTCACTGTTATTCTTCCATCAAAGACAAGGTATTGCATGCGCACACCTTGCAAAAACTCTCCTCGCACCAAGCTACCTCACCCTCAGTTGCCAACATACGGTTGCCACCTTCCCTATTCCTCACTTTTAGAACCATGGCCAAGATGATTGAGAGAGATTGGACGAGTGAATTTGTTTCCTTCTCTGGAAGGAAGCAAATGAATCCCAAGAGAAATTGAGAAGTGGCAAAAACCCTACTTCTCACAAGATAGATGAAATCAAGGCGAAAGATGTCAAAGGGAAAGAACAAGGAGGTATGGCCAAAACTGAATGAAAACAAACTCATGTGCGTATCTACGTATGATGGAATTGTAAAAGAATAATGTAAAGCGAAAGAGGCACGGTGTAATCTTAGACCTAGACTATAGAAGGCTAAGGTTGATCAAGTCTAGGGAGAGCTTATGACAGAATATGTGCAAACTCCGCAAGCAGTGACGCCTGGCACGCCTAATGCGGTATTGTATTACAATACTCAACAGGACGAATGAACGGCCAACACTTGCAAGTAGTTGGCAGAGTTCACTCACTACGATATTTACAAAGAGATTTCATTAGGGAAGGATTGTCATAAACAGAAACGCATCCTGACCTGACTTGAGAGTGCCAATAAGCAAATTAAATGGCCAAAACATCGAAGAATACTATGAGACATAAGAAGCCCGTGATGCCATGTTGTCGACCTGTGCGGACACTTGCATTTGCCTAATTTTCTGAGCGGTAGCACGATGAAAAAACTGCTCTCGAGCGAGAACTCTTACGTGCTTCAAGTAGGCTTCGACAGGAACTACCAAATCTTGAGCTCCTTTATCAATGGCATACAGCACATCTTCAATAGCCAGATCAGAAGATTGGGATTCGAGCAGCTGCTTAGACAGAGTGTCGGCTGGCTCAAAAACATCATCGATGTCAACATGGGCGATACCCTTGTCATTAGCCTTGAGCCAGTTCTCCAATATGCTTGTGTTAGTCAACGTAGCTTGTAGTTGATTTTCAAGAGCCGCTTTTTCTCCGTTCAACTCCCGAAGTCCATTCTTCAGCTGCTCCGACCTTTGACCCAACAGTTGCTGCAAGAGGGATGGTACGACAGATTAACAATTTCTCAACGAAAACCGAATCGTAGCAATACCTAGTGCTACACACCATCGTTACCACACCCAAACGCCTAAAGTTTATTTTACTACTACTTACTCTCCAGTGAGAGACAACCGGCAATGATATAATCACTCACCTGTGTTTTGAAGATTGATTCCATCTCGTTGTGCCGCTCCTGCATCAGTCTTTTGATATCACTTCTCACCTTCTCGGTCAAAGCATTAACAGCATTCCTTCTATACTGTTCTTGCGGGTCGTCGTTACGGATATGAGGAGGCGGAGGTGGCGAATGCTGATATGGAGGATATGGAAGTGAAAGTCTTGGGGACTGGGCAGGAGAAGGACCTGGAGATGAGGTGGGATTCAATTGCATAGTTGCACCACCTGTGTGAATTGGATTCATAAATGGTGGTGGTGGTGTTGGAGGGGGCGGGGGCCGAACGCTAACTGAAACAGACGGCCTTGAATATAAAGGAGGTTTTTGCCCAAATAGAAGAGACAGGCTTTGAACCAATTCAACTAAATTTGACCTAGGGTAAATCCATTGCTGAAGAGATATAGAGTTTACCATGCCTGATCCATCTACATTAGGGTGACGGGGCGTGATTATCATATCTCGAGTTGGATTAACAAACACTAAAGGAGCTTGGCGAGGGTATGTTTCAAGAAGCCACAAGGTGACAGGAATATTGTACTTAACATCCTGATAAAACATGGGAATAGTTCCCTCAGCTTGCAATAGGTTCAGAATCCGCCCATCATTGTGATTGAACACAGCAGTCTTGACCTGTAGCAGAATCAGTATGATGAAACATAAGTCCAGATCCCTGTAGTAATCTGAAAGGAATTGCCCTAACCTCGAAGCTGTAAGAGTGCAATGACCCGATAACTTGCAAATCATGCTTCGACGGAGTCCTCTAAGCTGAAAATGATAACCAAACACCGCCACAGCATACTCGTAGTACAGTAAACTAATTCATGCCAATAGATGACCCAATGATGCAGTTGCCTCTACGACAAGGACAAACTAATAAGCTACTTCAACAAGCTATTCTCATGCGCCAAATGAAATAGTAGCTCATACTACCAGCAAAATGTCTGATTTCACCAGCAATAAGAAACGAAGTGAATGTATGGCACAAAAGACTTGCCACTCCCGATAAAATCAAGAGCTCCATGTGGGATGCTTGATCTTACCTGCAAACCGGGAAACTCCTGAAGGACTTTCAAAAGATGCTCCCGGATTGTCCATTTGTCGTCCTCCACATATGCCAAGGCTTGCGGCCCCCTCTGCGACAACGCCTGATTCAGAAACTGAGTCACAGATTGCGAGTTCGGCGTACCCGGCCGTCCCACCATCTTATTCATAAATCCAACCTCGTGATCCCTCTATCTTGGCCGCAATCACGCCAGAACCCTGGACCAAACCACCACAAAGAGGCACCAGAATATCGACACGCGAGCATACCCAACACCTCCCAGTGCCGAATTCTACCCACCAACCTTCCCTACCGCTGCTCTCAACAAAAAAAAAAAAAAAAAAAAAAAAAAAAATCGCAGCGAACGCGACGACCAAGACGATAGCGCACTCGAAGAAGCAAGATGTAGCAGACAAAAGAGAAGCCGCAAAACACCAAGTGAAGTGTCGTGTAAAGGAGGCCGACGGCGTTGGACCCCTGGAGAGGCAAGAGCGTGGAACGGACCTACAATTGGAAGACACCAGAAGGTCCGTGAAGACACCAAACTGGGCAGGATGGGACAAAAAAAAGAGAGAGAGGGAGAGAGACAAATGAGCTCCAAACCCTAATTTCACACTCCCTCACTCACTCACTCACTCGTTGGTAAGTAACTCACTAACCACGACATATTATAATCAGTAAATAACACAGTAAATAACAATTATAATTATAATAAATAGAGGGTAACACAAAAAGTAAACATTGTGCAAAAATTTTGGGTAGACGATTTTAATTAGGTTTACATTTTCTTTTCCCTTCAAATATCATGAAAAATAATCATTTTAAGTTCTCTTTGACATACTCAAATCTCACACGCATATAAATCAAACCAAAGCAGAAACTTAGTTTATTTGTTTGTTTGTTTGTTTGTTTTTTAAATCTGTTTCATAAGCTAAACTATACATGAGATGAAGAATGGTATTGTGGAAGTCATCGATGACAATTACAAACAAAATAACCTAATTACACGCAGTATTAATAGTTCAAATAATGTGCTAATATCTAAAATGAAATTGTCTATGATAAAATGTGCAAGAAAAAATGTACTTGAAGATTGTTTTTGAAGTAAGAGTTGGTTTTGACATGCTACTGAACAGTAAATAAAAACAATAATAAGTAACGCTGGTCTGCAAAAATTAGCACACTAACACTGAGACGATTTAATTCAAATTTGCTGCATATTTTTTAAATGTGAAAAAGTAAACTGATATAGTTACTAAAAATCATCTTGTAAGAGCTCGTTTAAGAAGGGGAAAAAAAATCAAAAATACTAAAAGTGATAACAAATCCAAAAACAAAAATAAGACTGAGTGCAAAGAATCTCCTTGATACCATCCACAAGAAAATTGGAAGAGGTCAGGGATGAATTACAAGTATTACTTCCAATGAAACAACACATAAATTTTGGGAAATATAGAATCAGAATCAAAATTTTAAAAATATTGATATGGGTAAAGCCAAAATCATATCTCAATGTTTTTATTAATAAAAACTCTTTCAAGACACATTCGATATGTCAGCTAATTGATTGGATGCACCAACAATTTATGCTCATGTATTAGAATGAGGGGATTTAGACTTAAGGTTTTTGAGTGATATTCCACCCATGATAATATCTCAAAGTATCACGTGATAGTTCAAAATCACCCACCTCACAAGGTGGGTGATTTTGAAATCCATACATCAAAAGAGGGGCCGGTGAAATATCACAAACTTCCTTGCTTGCCTTAACTACCTTGACTTTTCCAAAGCACCAAAATATCAAGTGATACTTCAAAAACTTGAAGGGGGTTATAAAGTTTGAATGGTGATATTTGGAGAGGTGATATTTTAAGTGATTCGTGATACTTGGGTTCTGAAAAACCAAAAACAAGTGATATATAGTTGCTTAAAAACATTAAGTCTCAATCCTCGTAATAAAGGTATTTAGACCTAAGAGTTTTGGAAAACCAAATATTACAGATCACTCAAAATATCACCTCCCAAAATATCACCATTCAAACTTTATTATTTCGCCAGCCCTTATATTGATATTTGGATTTCAAAATCACCCACCATGTGAGGTGGGTGATTTGGTAAAGTATCAAGTGGTATTTTGAAATATGATCGGGTATTTTGAGATCTCATCATGGATGAAATATCACCCAAAAAACTTAAGTGTGAATCTCCTCGATACAAATACAAGGTCTTTTAGAATATTATCTTGAAAATGGAGCAAATGAAGAAAAAAAATCATTGCCAATCATCAAATAATAACTTTGTCCAAAGGCACAAACAATGGTTGTATTCAACACTCAATTATATGACAACTTCACTTCCACATAGAATTCTTGAGAATACCATGTAGATGCAATATTTCTCATTTATTGTGACAAATTTTATACCTTAAATTTAAAATGTTATCCAAAGCTTACTGAAAAATTTATCAAAAATAAAATGTTGTGATCTGTGAAAAGACCATAACTGTCTTTCATAAAGTAGCATTTTATTTGAAGAGCTGTGTATTTAATAAGTAAATTAAGGACGAGTGGAAGATTTTTTTTTTTTAATCATCAGATATTTTTTCTTGTATGTGTATACATGTTTATGTATAACACAAGTCTCTTTGAAAGCGTATAGTTTTAGCATTATACTATGTTGATCATAAAATTAATTTTAATAAATTAGTTTTATATAACATTGATTTTCACATTAAATTCTTACTTTGATTTGGATGGGTGAATAAGGTGCGCTCATTTGGTATTGAATCAAACAAACAAACAAAAACAAAATCACACTTAAAAGTATGCATTGCAGTACAATGATTAGTGTGGGAATAAGTTAATTATTTAAAAGGATGTAAATTTAGGGGAATGTTAAATAGACCCAAATCTTTGCTAAATTGACTCACCCATCCAAACCATGATGAAGAACAAAAACCTCTACATTCATTTTCCACTATTAGATCCAAGCCCAGTAAAAACCAAGCACATTCATCATGATTACCAAATTCTTAATCAAAGGTGGGTTCATTTAGTAAAAGTATGGGTCTTTTTAATATTCCCCTAAATTTAATATACATTTTATGTGTTAAGATAAGACAACTCTAAGAAATCTCGCCCACATACAAGAATTTAAAAAGTGAACAAAATGTATACATATTCACACGATGGTATGTGTGTCATGGTTGAAGAGTTACACAACAAAACGTATTCTAACCAAATCAAAAAGTGACATGACACATTTCATTCAAAACAAAATGAGTTTGGCTTGTTCATGATTTCAAAGCAGATCTTTGATATCACAAGCCCCTTTTTAACTCAAAACTAGCCACTTGGGAATAGGAGAGCAAAAGATCAGCCCAAAAAAGTAGTCCATTAAAGTAAAAGACAAGGGAAAGGCATTCCCCTATTTCTCGAAGCCGCGTGGTGCACACACATCTAAAGATTAGTTGCACGAAGCAAGTAAAACCCTAATCTGAATTCTGAAGAAGCAATTCTGCTCTCTCTGCTGTTTGATTCTTATGGGACTTTTCAGAGGCTTCCTTCTCGATTCTTCTCCGCTCTGGACGTTACGATAATGCTCATCAGGAATCATCTCTCCTTCAAATTTCTTATCTACTCGAACGTTGCCCTGTCGATCTCGTCACCGGGGTTTCAAATTTTTGAATGAGTAGGGTGGCGTTTGATTTCGAACTTTGATTGTTACTGCTTTAGTGTCCGTGCGCTGGAACTGGTTGCAGTGAGGGTGGATTTGACGCATCGAGCATTAGCTTGTGTGAATTAGCTGATCGAGAGGAAATAGGCCCTTTTGACAGGAATTGGACAATTGTAGCTGCTCGACCAAAGATTACACCTCGGTACGTCCTCTGCTAACCACGCCACTCGATTTCCGTGGATCGGATTGAAACTCCTCCTTAGTTGCCAGCGAGGGAGTCAATCGGAGGCATTTCTGTTGTTTTTTGCATTTCTTGGTCACTACTTGGATTATGCTACATGATATTCAAGACACAACGATTTCGACGAAGTTTCCTTAATCGGAGATAGTATTCTCGGTGGATCTGGATTGTTCATCGCTCGAGAGTACTTCAAGTTCTTGTCACAAGATGTGAGCTGTGCTTCATGTTACGGATTTCATGTGGTTTTTCGAATAGGATTTATTCTCAGTCATGTGAAGGTTATATGTTATATTTCTTGCATGCCACAGAACAATAGTTGATTGCGTTCAATAGGACTCGTTAAGGGTTTGAGTTTTCAAGGTGGTCTGGAGATCGGCATTGCACTCTTCCTGGGCTGCGAAGAGCCGTTAACTCTTTCTGTATTTATCTAAGGAAGGAACATGGGGGAAGAGGTTTTGTTCACTTCGTTGACGAACTCTTTCTAAATGTGCAGCTGGTTCTAGTCATAATCTAGATTATGGAAAACAAAATGTTCTGTTTTAGTCCTTTTGAAGTATCATGATAATTAGTATTCGTGGCTGTTTGCTTTCCTTTTCCTAAACACTTGCTAGGACGTGACTCTCTTGAGTACAAGTTATCCGAGTGTGTTGTGGTGAAGATGTCCACATCTGCTTTTTAGGATTGAAGAGATTTTTAAGCTCATAACTGCTACGCTGTCTCTTCGTATTTGTGCTTGTGTCGTTGGTTCGCATTTCGGGCTTGCTGGTTACTAGAATCTTCAGATTGTTTGGACCCGAGCAATCTCTGTCACTAATTTTTTCAGTGAGGGAAAAAAAAAATGTGTAAAGCATTTGATTGTTTCTAAAGTTTTCTATTTCAAGTCCTGTCCGTGGTCTTGTTCAAGATTTTCATTGTTGTTTAGTATCATTTTCTGTTGCTTCTGAACAGTCAGAATGCGGTTCTCCTATAGACTGTCCTCACATTTGACCTTCCTGGATCCAGATATGCTCAGTTTTCACTTGCAGCGCTGGTGATGGTGGTCGTCTTTAGTGTCTTTAGCATTTTGGTAGAGCAATAGCAGTGTTGCAGGCGGATGTTTGGCAGCGAGCGCCAGAAGAGAATATCACACTGAGCTTGATCACACTTGAAATTTTTGAGGATGTTTGGAGTCTTATTTCCTAATCGAAGTTTCCCATTGGGAATCACCACTTTCAACCAAGTCGATGATCACCGATGGATTCTGGATATGAATTATTTTGTTGGTAAGTTTTCTTTCTGGGTTTGGTTCTTATGAAGTATTTTCATGCGGGTTTGGGAACCGTGAAATCCTGGTTTTGAATGGTGGTTGTATACGATGGAATAGTACGAGAACTATATTCGACATTGTGCGTATGTTTCAACGCTGCGATGAGCATCGCATCTCTTTTAATGTCACTGACAATGACTCATTTACATATTTACAGGAGAAGCTTACGATCAAGTAAAGGAGATGTGTATCTTCTTGCTAAATGAGCTGGCACTGCCAGCTGGTAAAGCATTGGCCGTGTATGTGCAAACACCGGGTTCACAATTTGAATATCGTGGTGCCGTTCATAGCGCATGTCCTTCAGCTGTGTTTCCTCTACTTTGGCCCAGTGCAACTTCTGGCCAAATGCTACTGACGGGACCTGGTGCACCTTGTGCCTCTGCACAAATTGGTATCTCAGTCGAAGATCTCGCTACCCTTCCTTCTCTCAATGTAGGCCAGCAGAAGCGGGTGGAGGAGCTTGCGTTGAAAGTCGGCGAGAATTTATTCAACTTCATGCAGTCCTTCTGTTCAATAGAAGGTGACAAACTTCTCATTCCCATGGACATATTGAATCAATGGTTCAAGAAGTTTCAGGAGAAGGCAAGAAGAGATCCTGACTACTTGAATCGTTTCACTTTGTAATATAGTTCTGTGACTCCGGTATCAAACATATCGATTATTTCTCATCACAACTAATTTCCTCTTTTCCGGGTCTCTCTTTTATTTTTATTTTTATTTTTTCATTGTGGATAATATTTGTGCACATTGAAGACTTCAGTTTTATCAGATTTTTGCGGACATATCCACGAAAAGTTCACCAGACGTTTCCACAGTGTTCAGTGGACCGTTGGGAACTTTGTGACATCCACCCTCAAAGGTTTTTTCACTTGCTATTTCTATTTTGGTCGTAAACGTGGTTTTAATATAGTGCAGTGTCAATTCCTACAGCAGTACAATTAGCATTGATTTTATTCTATCCCAGGTATTCATCGTCCATCGGAACGTTGTCCTCAAAAAATGAGATTATGCATGAGATGGACTGTTTTTAACTCAATGCCCATTTTACCATCAGAACATGTACGTAACCTTATCTTGAACCCCATCTTCTTTCTCGGTAAATGTCACTCAATTTAATGCTGGAACCAATTCTGACTGTCTGTGTCATGGTTTTACACAACCATTCAGCAAGCTCAATGGACATACTGTTGGGACATCAAAAATGGACATAAATTTGGTGTGTTGGTTCAATGTTCTAATTCTCTAGGAGTCTTGAGAGTGATTAGAAAAATGCCAAATAACGATTGTCTGCGCAGTTTCATTCTGGTTCCCCTTGAATTGTGTATATTATTATACATTAGTAACTTGCACGAACATATTACTTTTGAAGCAACGGAACTGCCCCCGTTAGGAGTATATATAACATCTTACGAATCACACCATTCAACAATTGTTTTTGGATGTATTAACTCAAGAAGTAAAATATAAAACAAGAATCAATGTTTCCAATTATAATTGGTAGCAAAATTATACAAAATAATGTATCCTATCAAGATCCTAAAATCCTTTTATACAGGCAATTCAGCATTCTCGAATTCATCTTCTCTAAGTTAAAGCGATTTACGGACAATATCGATTGTCTTGGTCCCATGTGTCTTCAAACACACCATCACGAAACATTTAGTTCCATATGGCAAGCATGTGGAAGGAAATTTCATTCCACATTCCGTTCCAAATCACTTCAAACAATAGGATAGTATTTACGAGAATTATTTTCTTCGTCGCGGTGCCGACGTACATGGTCGCCAACGCGGCTATACCACCCTTCCACGGAAGCCCTAATTTGGCTTGAAGGCTTTTTATTATTGCCGGGGCAGATCTAGTGCCACATTCTGACGTGATCGGTGTGTCCGAGAGCTTCGTTTCAATCGGAAGCGGCAACGATCTCGTCGCACATGCTCCCCGAGATTTGAATTCGTCGCTTGAGCAAGCTCAGAGAATGATTTATCTCTTGTAAGAACACGGAATTATCTATTCAGTAGTGCTGTTGTTTTCGTGTGTACACTAGAGGACCCTGATTCAGTACGACGGGGCGAAAATGGAATCGTAGTTTTGATGTTCACCTTGGTGCAGACGAATTCGGGAATTGAAGTATTCTTGAATCCTATCAGATTGTGGAGCATGGAAAACCAAAAAAGCTAGTGTGTTGTTGTTTTCGTTGAGGCCAAGCATAGTTTTGAACCACTGTACGTGTTGCACAAGTGAGATTCCGTCTTTCACGGTAGCAAGTTGATGACACTGAACCGGAGTGTTTTATTTGATATCGTCGGTGGTTGGCGTATGGCTGTGGTTGTTGTTACTGACGCGATCGATTGTCTGCCGACGGTAATGCTCTTGCTGATTCGGCGGTCTGCACCGAGAAGGGTTTCTTTGAGTCTTTGACGAAGCGTTCTGAGTTCTTTTAGGGTTGCTGCGTATCAGAATTTTGGTGAGAATTGGTTACGTGCGCCCTTCCGAGAGTTTGGACTTATCGTGTGATACTACAGGTTCACCTCTTGAATTGAATTTATGCTACGAACGAGGAAATTTTAAAACCTAGAAGTGCATGTGAGCCATGAGCATCGAACCTTTTCGAAGGCTAGTAAAGTTAGTGGCAAGGGCATTCTACGATGAAGAGATTCCTGCGAAAGGCCCCAATCGAAGCAAGTCTGATAAGTCTGATAACAAGGGCATTGCTGTTGTCGTTCTCGACGCCCTCACCAGGTTATGCACTGAACTGCACTATACACAATTATTGTTCAAGTTCAGTGCGTAGATTCTATCGGCAGTGCTGTGAATAAACTCCTTCTTCGTCCAGCATTTTAAGCCCTATCTTTTTAGAACAGGCTGAGCGTTGTTGCAAACCCGTTTGTGAGTTTCTTAAGCATTATTTACAGTGGCCCGTTATTAGCAGGCGGCAATGGGTGAAGGAAGAAGACTTGGCGAAGAAATTACGGCTTCACCCAAAGCAGCTCAGGCGCACACTCCGAGTGCTAGAAGAAGAGATGCTTATTATTAGGGAGCATCGTAAAGAGGTCGTACTCAATTTTGTTTAAAAATCTATAAGCACTTTAGGTGCTATTTTGAATGTAGAGTTTCACAACTCGAACAAAAGAGTTTTGATATTTTGAATTGCAAAGATTATCTTCCCGCTTGATCTTTTAAAGCGTTCGTGACCTGAATGCCGTTTTGACCGACGTGCTTGAATTTCATCTTCAGACAGTGAAGGGTGCTAAGGTGTACAATGCAGCTGTTGCGGCTGTAAGTGATGGAACAACTGGGGAGAAAGAGGGCGAAGAGAAATTAAAATTGCATACACACTCGTATTGCTGCTTGGATTATGCACAGGTTTGTTTTGTCCCTTCCCTGCACACTCGTTGGCGGGTTTACATCTTCGTCATCCGATTAGAAGAATTATCAGTTAAAAAATTCACAGAAAGGTCCACTCTCTTTGTTTATTTTTCCCTTTTGTTCTCCAAGGGTATGAATCACTCAAGGATCAAAAGCTAAATATGAGCTAGTTGATATTGAACAGGTCTATGACATTGTTCGATATCGAATACACCGAGCAAGGAAGAAAATAAAGGATGAGCTGGAGGATCGTAATGCCATTCAGGAATACGTCTGCCCGAATGCTGGTTGTGGACGCAGGTTTAGTCAAATAAACTTATTTTAAAGTGTGTACCTATCTTTTCGTATTGCATTCTGCAGTGCACGTAATTAGATGTAACGTTGATAAAACTGTGGACCACTTCTGAGCTGTAAATCTCAGTAAGATACTTGTCATACTCTCTTTCCATTCTCTAAAATTGCGAGAACAGATCAAATCTCTCATGTCCCTCCTTGTTTTAGGCTCCAATTTTCATCAATTAGTTCATTTCCACTTGCGCTTACTACTGTCGCTATTATTTGGTGATTTCAAAGTTATTTTTTCTGGGTCGAAGGGCTATATGTCGTCTGCTCTCATTTTTAAAAGTAAGTTTATTCTGTGAATGTGCGGGGACATTTCAGGTACTCGGCACTCGATGCTACTCGTCTTATCAACCAGTTGACAGAGCTCTTCCATTGCGAAAATTGCGATGCAGAGCTTGTTGAGGAGGCTGACAAGTTTGCTGTACCCGCTCCTGAAGGTGATGGTGAGGACAATGCCCGTAGGCGTCGACGAGAGAAACTCAGAGAGCTCTTGGAAAAGTTGGATGTGAGGATTTACACCCGTTTTTCCCTTCGTATTTCCTTTGCGACTGTTGCTTGCCAATGGATTTGCACTTACTGTATCAGTTGCGTGTGAAACGGTAGTACTTAATGAGCTGACCGCTGTTGGTATTTCATGATTGATGTCAGCCATTTATCAGTTTGGTGACTGAACGTATTTTATACAGATGGACGATCCGTGATAATATATCTATGTATCTTCATTAAGTTCTCAGTTTGTTGAAGCTTGAAATGCTTTCGTTTGTTGAGTGAAACAGAAACAATTGCAGCCTTTGCATATACAGCTAGAGCGCGTGAAGGCCTTAGTTCCACCAGATTTTGGAACACTTGTGCAATGGGAGAAGAGAGCCATTAGTTCAGTACGTGCTGGTGGTGAATCTAATGAAGACGCTGCCAAGGCTGCGCATGGTCAAGGCTCGACTGGACCTCCTATGCCCTACATGGGAGAAACCAAGGTATTTTTCGAATCGAGGGAGTTTGTTCATTTTTGTACAAATGCTTGAATTCACGAAAGAAAGTGATGTGTGTTGGTGGTGCCTTTAAAATGAAAGCCGTTTGCTCTTTTGGGTTTTATGTGTTACTTGTGGTTGCGTGTCTGCCAACTCAAAAAGAACCTTTAATTTATAACCATGTCTTGAAAAAGAAAACCTTCAATTGAAGTTTCTTCTAGCTGCTCTTGTTTGATCTGCGATGTTCAATTCTAGCACCCCGTATAGCTATGTTGTAATTGGCATACTCTGGTTGCTAACTTGAATGACGCGTACTGCAGGTGGATGTTGTTATGGCTGGCGCCGCTAAGAATGAAGGGAAGGATGAAACTGCCGCAGGCCCAACAAAGGTACTTCCACCATGGATGATACGAGAGGGCATGAATTTAAATGCTAAACAAAGGGGAGAAGCCCTGGAGGGAGAGTGGAATGAAGATAATGGCGGCACTTCAAATGCAGATATCAAGCCTGCAGAAGAGGATAAGGAGGCCATGCAGAAAAAACTCCAGGTATATTTCTTGACTTAATCCTATGCTCTACAGTACATTTTGATCTTTCTAAGCCTCTAAGGACAAGAAATTTAATATAACACGAAGATTGTCATCGTGTTCGAAAGCCACATTGTATTTTTAGGATTCTGAAGTAGTATTATGAACCCGTAAACACCATGCATGTCTTTTGAAATTACGAAATTGATGAATAGTGCATATTATTAGGAAAAGGCTAAGTTGAAAGCTCTCTGTAGCCCGAAAGTTAGTTGTTTTAAAGATAACAATCATACGTTCAATTGCAAGCATCCATATGTTAAATCAATTAAACGAACATAGCTTCAAGTAACCCTTTAGAATCACGATTTCTTAATTTAATTTGGAAATTTTATTGTGATGGTTCGAATTGGTTTGTGTAAAAAATATTCAAACATGAAATAATCCTACATACATTGTCAAACTGAAGAGGTAAATACATCATTTTGTATAAAATCTATACATTTGTCTACTCTCTTGTTTAAACTTGGAACTTATTTTCCCCACAGCTTTGAGTTTTGAGGTTAGCCATGGTTATTAGAAGATTTGGTAATTCACAAGGAGTTTCTTTTTACATAAAAAAACTGAATAATTAATCAATCGATTAAATTTTATACCTAGGAAGGGAATTTCGTCAAAAGTATTCAGGCCTCGTCTGGGTCGTCATAACGTTCAGAAATAATATGATGAATTACTGCTTCCTTTGTTTTACTACCTTGACGTACATCATTGTTCTTTGTTCTGAAACAGGAGGAATATGTGAGAGCATACTATGCAGCCATCCTAGCGTCTCAACAGAACGCTTCTCAACCTCCTAAATCAGAAAATAATGAGATGAGTTATGTGGAAAAAGATGTAAGCACTGAAGCAGCTGCAGAAGTCAGCGCAGGAGTGGTCGTCAAGGACGAGGGTGAGGACGACGATGATGTGGAATGGGAGGATGCCCCTGCTGCAGGTACCCATATATGTATCTGTAGTACCTTTGGTGTTGGTTTTTACTAGCCTGAAATGTTCTGGTGCTCGTCTTTACCATACGTATGCAGAAGAAAGGATGAAATGGCTGTTGCAATGATATTAAGATGCCCTGGTCTAAGCGTCTATTAGTTAGAAAGGTTGTCAGTTCTTTGGGATATCCATATATTCAAACGCTTGAAATGCATAGAAAGGTAAATAACGAATTCGTCTGAAAAATGATCATAATCATGCTGGAGTGCCTCTCACGTAGATGATACGAATTTAATCTAACTTGAGTATACTCGATCTAATCTTGTCTTTGAATGTACAATATATCAGAGGTGCCAATTGCTGGTTCAGGGCATGACGAGAACCTTGAAGATACAGAAGGTGCGCCAGTAGAAGGTCAAGGAGACTACGCTGGCGAGGCCGATGAGGATGATATAGAATGGGAATAGAGATGAGAGGCATTTAATTTTGTTAATATAAATCGAAAAATACCCTTTTTCTAGCTTATGTCTTAGCTGGAGTCCAAAAATTCTTTTAGGTCATGAAGACGAGGCATGGCCGGTGTTCCCTAACACAGGTTCACCCCTCACATTGCGACAAGATGTTCATGGCAGAGTTGATCTTTGTGTTGGTATTTTCTCATTAGGAGTGAAGCTTCATCTGGTAGGACATCAGGAACAAGTAAGAAAAATATCTTTAGCTGTGACTCCTATGGCAAGATATTGTGAGAAGTTAGTTACTCTGAGTTGATATTCAAGCCAAAAAAGTGAGGAAGAAAAGATAGTTCTTCCAAATTGCAAGTAAAATCGAAATTGTGAGCCATAAGAAGTTGATTGTATATTAATCTTCGAGTTGTGCAGTTTTCTTTTATTCCCATTGACCTTATTGAGTTGGAATTATAATGAACTTACAGGTATATGCATTTCAATATGCAAAATTAAATAGGAAGGTTTAAACTAAGGACAAAATCTTGTTGATATGATTCATGGTGATATTTAAATACAATTAGTACATATGTAAATACTTTGTTCAATTTCTTATCTTTATTTACTTGGTTAAGTTAATCATTTTTGTTTTTAATTTTGTTGTGCATACAAAATTTAATTACTTTGTTTGTTTTAAAGTCATAGAATGAATAATATTTTATGTTATAGTTGTTATTTATGTATTTGGATATATATATATATATATATATATATATAAGTAAAGAGATGTTAATGCTACATTGTAGAATAGGTAAATAAACTTTGTGGTAAGTTACTCGTTGGTTATTGACAACCTTGAGAATTAGATTGATAGTTAGGCAGTTTAGTTGGTAATAGTAGGTTGTTAGTGGAATAAATGGTTAAGAATTCAAAGGGTCATAACCTTTAGAATCCGCTGGCTGACGGATCATCTTTTTGGTAGGATAAATAGGTTGAAGAAAGTAAGTCGAGAGCCAGACTATGAGAGTCGTAAGCCGGGGTAAGCTTGGTGCTACCTCTTTGTTTTCTTTATTATTTGCTTATGAAGAATTGTGATTGAGAGAAGTATTGTTGAATTGATAATCGTAGAATGGATTATGAGTTGAATTGAGACGGAAGTAGTAAGCCCCGGTGCTTTGTAGTTTGATACTTGATTTCAAATAGCCAGAATAGAGTCAATTGTCACACTAACAGACCCAAATCATATAACAAGTCTTTCTTGTATTCGAACCCACGTCTATTAGTTCAATTGCTTTGGTATACTGAAGCTTGAACACAACGAGAACAACATTTTGGCACCGCTGCCGGAGAAATGACAATAATATGAAATATTAGAAATTGATTGTATGGGAAAAATGAAAGATTATGAGTGATAACCATGAAAGGGAGGATTATCAAAGAATTAATTGAGAAGCGAAAGAAAGACAAGAGCGATTACGCATAAGAAATATCCTATGGGAACGACAAAAATGAATTATAGGTCCAAATAAAACCAAAGGAAGAAAAATTCAAATTCAAATAGTAAGGAGACTAGTGATAACACCAATGGCTGCAAGAGTGTTAGAAGTACCAATTGCAGTACAAATGAAAGCAGTAGGAGACAGAACTACAAATATGGCACCATTACCTACTTTTAGTGGTTGGCCGGGCTCTGATCCCGATCACCATATATCTCAATTCTTGACAACTTGCGAGGCTAATAATGGTAGAACTGAAGACATTTGGTTGAGATGGTTGCCAGCAACTTTAAAAGATATAGCTTTTGAATAATATATTCGGCAACCAATGGGTAGATTTTTCAATTGGGAGGCCTTGAAGAATGCCTTTTTAACTCATTTTAGACCAATTCGATTTGAAGATCGGCTTTGAGAAAGTTTTATGAATAGCAGGATGTTTGCGAGGGAATCCGTAGAGTCCTATTATGGCTGGATTGCGGATATACTTTGTAAATGGTCAAATAATCAAATGCCACATGCGTTTATATTATCGATATTAATCAATGGTTTGCATCCACCAGAATTGAAAATGTTTGTAAAAGAGGCTCGACCAGCTACGGTAGAGGCATCGTTGGCACGATCAAAGGTATGGAAAGAATGTCATTATGACCAATTGTTAACAGTGGGGGCCACGATGATTCCAAGTTCAGGAAGCCAAAAAATACAACCGGAAAATGTGTTGATGGATAAATATCCACAAATAGCTACCTCCAATGTGAAGAATGTTATGTTGCAACAACCAATTAATGCTACACCATTCCAAGCAATAGTGCCAATAATGATGACACCTTATTTTACATTGCCAACTTATCAACAACCGGAGTTGTTCACAAATGCGACTGTTAAAGATCCAAATGAAGCCTTGTTATTAAATCTAACAAAGAAGATGGAAGAATTGGCCGTGAATTTGCCTAAAGATAAGGAGAAACGACATAAGCCTTCTAATATGAGACCTAATGTATGGTGTAATAATTGTAATGGATAAGGTCATTTTGATATGGAATGTCCATCACCTAGATAAACGGATGTTCAATGTATATTTTGCAGAGGAAAGCATCCTACCTAAAACTACTAGCATTTATAAAGGCAACAATAATTTAGTAATCAGACCATGATTCCACCGACTCAGTGGGAAGTCAATCAAGTTCAAACAAGAAATACGTATGGATGGAATGGAAATCGATCTAATCGACAAAATCGAACATTCAATAATTTTCAAAGTTCCAATTTTTATTAGGGGTCTGTATCAAACCTCCAAAACTATGGGAAGAAGCAGCAAAGGTATCAACAATATGCTCCATCGGCGTCATCGAAGCAAGTACCTTCTGTACAAATGGGTCAACCATGATCATTTTCTAATCCTACATGGAACAAGCCTAGTAGGTATATATCGGTGGAGACATCCAATATGCCAGATGGGGGTGCAAGAAGACCACTTCGTTGTTTTTGTTGCAAATACATTGGTTATTATGCGAGTGAATGTCCCAATCCAAGGGCCAGTGACAATTATGCGCCAGTGTGTGCAAATTGCAAGCAGTCGGGACATACTTATCAGCAATGTAATGCTCCGTTCAATTTCAATAATTGAGATTAGCAGATCCATAGCCGAGGAAAAAATGGAGGAGATAAATTAAGGTCCTCAAGATTCACCAATTCATTGGGTAGAAGTACTCCAAGCTGTCCATACAAGAAGTCAGCAAAAGGGAAAAGGATCAATTCAACATTTGGATGATTCTGAAGCAAAGGGCCAATTGGACCCAATTACAGGGACATCCAATCCAGGTCCTGATATGGGCCCTTTACTTAGTATAAGACCTGAATCAGTTGTGCACCCTAATGAGGTACCAATTACGGAGGCTTCAATTCTATGTCAAGCTGTTTTGTTCTCTACACAGTTTTGGGAAACGTCCTTTTCATTTAAAGCTCCTCTAAGAGGCGTGAATTCTAAGGAACTAATATCAACCCAATTGGGAGAATAATCTTACTTGTTGAAAGAATCGATTTTATAGGCTCTATCAAATTCAGTTCCAATAGCTCTACCAATTTCCAATATAGAGAAAACCAATTTACCTATGTCGGTGTCTAAGATTGGGAAGAAGAAATGGACATTGGAAATTACCACTAATACAGAATCATATGATATTCTAAAAGATTTGGGCACCATATAATCCACAATCTCTATAAAGCAACTATTGGCGGTAGCACCTGAGTGTCGAACTATCTTGAATTTTTTATTAATTTATCGTAGATTTCAAAATAAAGAAATCCAAAAAGTAAGTTTGAATCCCGATCAGAGTGCACCTACGATTGATGTCTCAATTGATAGAATGTTATTATCGGAAGTACAAGTAAACGAAGGATCTAGTGTAAATCTTATGAATGCTGCTACAATGGAGGAGTTGGATTTGGATCACTTATTACATACTATAGTAGTTTTGAGAATAGCTGACTCCAATCGAGTTAAACCTATGGATATTTTACGAAGTATTGATACAATAATTACGGGGATTACCTACGAAATTGATTATATTATTTTTCGATTGCAAAGCTCTATATTGTCATACTCAATTTTATAGGGGCGACTGTGGTTGTATCAAGCTAAAGCTCGAAATGATTGGGGCCGTGGTACATTGACAATTGGGAAAGGTAATGATAAAATTGTGCTTTAAATCTACCTTGTCCAATATCACGGAGAAACTCAAGTTGCCAGTTCAAAATTCACATTGGATTGTAAAGATGAGTCTATAGAAGAAGAAATTGGTGCACTTGACACAATTTATGCTGATACAAGGTAAGTTGTTGAGCACACTAGAATGTCCTACTAGTATAAGGGACCGGGAGAGTACTTAGTTCCTCCAGATGTTATTGACAATTCTAATCATATGATTGCATATTGGATGAATAGACGGGATGTTAATCACATTAGTGCTATGGAACTGGAGTTGGAAAGTTCTAATGTGTCGGATTTTATGAAAGATTCTGAAATTGAGTTGAACATCAATCTAGGGACTCCTAAAATTCCACAATGTCAACTAATTAATTTTGATACAAAGGAGGCTCTCCAAATCATTCAGATTTATGACAGTATAAAAGGCAAGGAGAAAGAAATTTGGGTGGATTACTTTTTAATGCATAAAACTGCTTTTGCATGGTCATATGCGGATTTGAAAGGAATTCCAGCTGAAGTTTGTGAGCATCAAATTATATTGGAGGAGAATGCTACACCAGTACGCCAAAGACAACATCGACTTAATCCAAAATACTCACTTATGGTAAAAGAAGAATTAGATAAACTCTTGGAGGTTGGATTTATCTATCTGGTTTCTTTCAGTGAATGGATTTCATCGATTGTTATGGTACCAAAAAAGAATGAAAAAGTTCACATATGTCAAGATTTCTGAAAATTAAATGCGGCTACCAAGAAGGATTATTTTCCTTTATCATTCACGGATAGTATATTGGATGTTGTTGCTAGACATGAATGTTATTCATTGCTTGATGGATTCTCCGGTTATTATCAAGTTAAAATTACAAAAGAAGACCAGTTAAAAACTACTTTTACTACGGATTGGGGGACCTTTGCCTATAAGGTTATGTCGTTTGGGCTTTGTAATGCACCAGTTATATTTCAAAGGGTAATGACGGAAGCACTTCAAGATTATCTACAAATTTCAATAGAAATCTTTCTAGATGATTTTTGTACATTTAGTACGAGAGCCAGGCATTTAGAATGTCTAGGTCAATGTTTGAATCAATGAGCTAAATATGGAATTTCTTTAAATTCAAAAAAATACCAATTTGGTGTGTCTTCTGGTAAACTATTGGGTCATATAGTTTTGATGGCAGGCATTGTTATAGATCAAGATAAAATAAAGATTATAGTAGAATTAAAGCAACTAGATACTGTTAT